CAGTTTCCGGAAACTAGTACCTCCGAGGTACTAGTTTTTTGCTGCGTGTTTTCGGCGGGAAGCCTCAGTTGAGCCACGGAAGTGCTACGCTTCCCAGATGTGCCAGTGAGATCGCGCCCGGAAACTCCGCCTGTCTTCCGTCGCTCTAGCGTGGCTAATGCTCCGTGTGACCGCAGCCTGTATTTAAGCATTTCATTAATTTCAACTGGCTTTCAACAACATTCCACTAATTTTAACAGAGCATACTTTGCACGCAAGCTTAAGGATCACAGCTTTAAGAGTAGAATTCAGACACAAACGGAAAGCAGAAGAATAAACTGGATGTTCAAATCCATCTCAACTGATAGAAGAGGCACTTTACAGACAGTCAGATTTTGCCTCAATGCTATACTAAAACCCTTGTTCAATTTGCATTATAAATGAAAGCCAGGAAAACACATGCAAAAAGATCATGTGTGCAACATTTACTCTTAAGAAAAAGAAGATTCCTCTGAGATTATACACAAAGTTTTTTACTCTGAAACATCACTATATGCCTCACATTCAATAGTGATATTTACATGAAAAATATTATGGGCAAAACCCTGAAAAAACTTTTTTAATGCCTCAAAAATAACAGAGCGGCAAATAAACTGACATAAAGAATGATCAGGAGACCTAGATTGAGAATAAAGTACAAATCTAAAGTTAAACTACATTAACAAAGCTAAGCAGCAGCCGTGAGCTAAAAGGCAACAGAAAAAAGGAAAACAGGTGGGTTTTGTAGAAAGAATGCTCCACTAGGATTTTATTGTATAGAAATTTTTGCCAGCCATCATTCCAGCCCTCTATTGCAAAACCTAACTTTCATGGAAACCAAATGATTCCCTGGATGCAGAATTTTGGAAAATGCAAAAAACAACACCGCCTGCCTAAACAGCCAAGAAAAACTTTCCAATGTCTCCCACGAGCCTGCTTTTAAGAAAATCTCTGCTCCTTCACACAGCAAAAATGTTTTATCATGCAAAATAATAATAATTGCCACAATGTTTTGCTAAACTGGTCTTGAGAGAACCACGCTGATTAAATAAAGAAGCAAGAAAAAGAATGCCTTAAATGAAGGGAAAAATAAAAAATGAAACAAAGATTGGGATGAACAAGAAAAAGATGGAACATGGTGAGCTGAGAAATCCAGGTGGGCTACTACCGATCAGGACCTCCTCGACAGATTCGAGGTACTGCTGTTATTAGTCCTATTTACTGATTACTGCACAGATCTACAGAAGAAGCATACCTGGGGATACCAGCCTCCAGGGGGGGGCTGGGGATCCCCTGGAATTACACCTCATTTCTAGACTACAGAGATCAGTTTCCTGGGAGAAAATGAATGCCTTGGAGGGTAGACTCTATGGCATTGTACCCTATTGAGACCCCGCCCTCCTCAGGTTCCATCCCCAGATCTCCAGAAGTTCCCCAAGTGGGGTCTGGCCACCCAATGCCCCCCCCCATCCACTGCTGGTAGCCAGGCAACCTGGCAACCCTACCAAGCATGTATGGAGGGAATGCCACGTAGTCAGGAAATATTGGCAACAAATCCATAAAGCAAAGAAGTTCCCATGCTAATACAAATAGATTGCATAGATTAGAGAATTATGGTTGAGTTTGGTTGAAAATGTAAATTGGCAAGGTAAGTTTATTTATGTAGATACGAGTTTTTCATTAAAAAAGAAACATATACCCAGAAGCAAAGTTCCTTTGCGAAAGAGAACACTTTTTTTGAGAACAACAGAAATGTGAACAAGGCGATAATTGGACTGAGCCATGTCTCAAGTCTCCACCTTTTGCTGAAACAGCTACAGTTTTATTGCTTATACAGCTGACAACATAGGAAATAACCAAGTCAGACCATGGGTCTATCAGGGTCAGTATACTCTAACTGGCAGCAGCTTCTCAGGGGCTCGGAACAGGTCTTCCACATTATCTACTACTTTATACTTTTTTAAAAAACTGGAGATACCAGGATCTTCTACTAACAAGTAACAGCCTCACGCCACAGCAGCCCACAGCACTGTGGCTTCTTCCAACATAAATGCAGTGGGTCTCCATGCAATACCTGGAGATTAACTACATAGGTCAGGCATCATATCCCTGCTCCATGAGGGACGCTGGTCAGGAGCTGGACCGCCAATTCAACCTAATATGCAAGCACCATGGAACAATACCCTTCTGATCCTGAAGTCAGTCAGTCCAGGAGAACTAATGCTTTGGCTATGTAGATTTGAGGCTTGTTGAATAGGGATGGGCATAAAACGGCTCACGAGCCAAAATTCTGTACGAACTTGGGCTGCTCCAGAGCCCCCAAACATTTACCGGACTTTTCTGTCATTTGAGCCATTTAAACCTAACAGCTGAGTGGCGCAGGGTTTGTAGCTGACGTGTTAACTTTGCCTCACAGCTGACGGGCACATCCACCCCGCTGTTAGGATGAAATAGCTGCCAGCTATTTAAACATAAAAGCAGGGCAGGTCTGCCCATCAGCTGTTAGGTTTAAATGGCTGCGAGCCATTAAACCTGTCAATTTTGCTTCCCCCCTCATTTCGAAGTGGGGGGAAGTGAAATTGACAGGTTAAATGGCTGGCAGCCATTTAGCCCTTCCCAGATGACCCCCTCCCCCCTTCTCCTGGCTGCAGTGAGAAAGGGGGATCCAAATTTGCATGTTTGGTTCTGGGCCTTTGGGCTCAGTTTGGGGGCTGCTCCGAACCCTGAACCGGATTTTTGGGGTTTGTGCCCACCCCTACTGCTGTGCTCTTAATCTGAGCATCTAAATATTGCAAGAACCCACTGGTCTCACAATCTACTGTTCCCTTGCCTGCTTCCTTGTTGTCTTATGCACACTGTACCTGCTCCAGATTAGCTCCCTGCTATACCCTCCAACCTTAGGAATGCTGGCTTTTTGCTTACAGTATAAACTCTCCAATGAGGGATCTTCCTCGTTTCTGATACTTGCAGTCTTTCCAACATTTGAAACCTTAGTTTGCCACCAGTCAGATACCATTTCCAACAGTGTCCCTGAAGACTACCATGAACTCTGAACTACAAAGCAAAAGCACATTCCATAGAACAAATTTAAAAAGCAACCTAGTATCATCTGTGTGTTATTGGGGTCTGTTTCCGTCTGCAGTGCTCCTATAAGTATATTCACAAGCCTCAGTTTCAAGGATAGGAAGGTTACTGGCTTATCATAGGATGAACTGTCATCATTGCTGAATTTTCCTTCCAGAACAACCTACAAAAATAAATATATGTTATCCTTGGCAAAAGACAGAACAAACAGATAATAGTACGATGTAGTAAAACCTTTCTATACATTTAATATACAGCATACTTTAAGGCCACCTTATTTTTCTTTTTGTGGTATTTGTGTGTGTGTGTGTGTGTATGCGTGTGTGTGTATGCCTGGAAGTCATGGTTGACTTCTGGCAACCCCTAGTGGGGCTTGGACATTTTAGAGAGGTAGCTAACTATTGCCCGCCTCTGCATTCGAGTCATGGTATTCCCTGGAGGTCTCCCTCCCAAGTACTTGCCAGGGTCGAAATGAATAAACTCTATCGATGTCCATACATAAAGATACTTAGGCTATGATAAGCTGACTCTAGAAAGTCAATTCAGACTGCCATTTATGGTGAGGAGCAGGGATAATACTTAGAGCAGGGGTGTCGAACTCATTTGTTATGAGGGCTGGAGCTGACATAAATGAGACCTTGTTGGGCCAGGCCATGTGTGTCATAAAATGTAATGCCAGGTAGTGGAGATATAAACTTTATAAAAGACCAAAACACAAAGGGTTTTTTTTAACTTAAAATAAAAACATGCTTAAAAAGCACTCTTGCAATATTTTGTTTATTTAACAGTGTCTGATAACTGACACCTCTTGCTCTGAATTATTGCATCAAAATGTCTGTGCTGCTGCAATCTTGAGTATGCTGTTCAGGTGTGTATCTGTAAGCTGCAAACCTACAACGATGCAGCAGCAGCAGCAGAACTGGAAGAAGAAGCAGAAGACAGCCAGTTCCACTGTGGGCCTGATAGAAGCCCTCCGGGGGCCTGATCCAGCCACCGGGCCGCATGTTTGGCACCCCTGACTTAGAGCATATATTTTAGTGCTTAAGCATTCCACATGCATTGAACTGGATTCTATGGTTGTTCTCTGGCAGAAAGGCCCTTGAGCCAAAAAGGTAGCAGAGGGGATGGGACACAATTTCTATTGAAACCCCCCTCCAAACTGTAGACCATCCACTGCAATCACTAAGGAGGGGGCATTTTAACTCTACAGACAACATTAGAGAGTAAGCAGTGTTGGCAGAAAAAAATTATTCTGTAAGCAGAGTTCTACTTGCAAATCATTTGACATAACCCATTATCTTAAGCCTAGATAGTGAGTTCAGGGACAGTGGGCAAACTCAAACCATGGAATTCTGGATTTATACTTTAGTTGCTTATCGTCTGAGCTACCTCAGCTCTCTGGCCACTTTCTGCAATTCCACTTCAACTGCAGTTCCACTGGTTCAAGTAGTCTTGTGACAGGTGTTAAGTATTAATTATCCTCAATTTCCATTTCTCCCCCACGCCAGCCTTACACATGAAAAGCACATTTTTTGCAACATTATAACAGAAATGCTGATCTGTAGAGATACTAGACTTTAGGTTTAAACTAAATTTGCATAACACAACACTGAAAATTCTTGGATCAATTACCTCTGATTTTATTGTTCCAAAATGATGAGGAAGAGGCAACAAGGAGTGTAAGATGTTGATAGAGGCTCTTCTTAGCTCTGTGGGATTCACATATGATTTAAACTTGGAAAGTTCCCTAAAAATGGAATCAATTCCGTATCAGTCTGTTTCAAGGCTCAAAATGTCTAAGTGAAATGGGGGGAAGTTGCTGTGAAAATTTTCGCTTTGGTTACAAACAGACAAAGTGTAAATGCTGGGATTCTGTGATGCGCTAACTGGTCTTCAGAAGATAGACCGAGATGGGTAGCCGTGTTAGCCTGTCTGTAGCAGTAGAGAAGAGTCCAGTAGTACCTTAATGACTAACAACATTTGTGGTAGGGTATGAATTTTCGTGAGTCACTGGTCACTTCTTCAGATATCTTCAGGTATCTGAAGAAGTGAGCAGTGACTCACGAAAGCTCATATACTGCCACAAATTTTGTTTTGTTGGTCTTTTCTACTGGCCTTAAGAAATCAGTGCACTCACTGCAGTGCAAGAACACGAGTCATCAGCAATAATTCTGGGATGTATGCCTACAGTTAAAAAAAAACAAAGCCTTCCAACTTTGTATTAATATAAAAACAATTAACATTCCATATTCAGAATCTGGACATTTTTTAAGGTTGCACGCAGTCCTTTGAGCTTGTTTGTGGCATACACCTGATTCCCAAGAGTACCAAGAGTCTTGAAAATATGTTTACAGCATGGCCAGAGTAGCTTGACGGGGTGGGGGGGGAGAAGAGGACTGGAAAACAGGAGGCAAGTAAAAACAAAACCTTGGCCCGGTCACACGGGCAGGAAACTGCGGGGGGGAAGCATGGCAGTTTGCCCCGGGGCAAACTAATGTGCGGTAAAGTGATCAGACCTCCCGTGGAGGTACCGTGGAGGTACCGTGGAGGTTCCATGGGAAGGGAAAGGTGCCGATCGCATGACAATCCCACGCGCAAAAAAGAAGCGCATGGTGCGGCAAACTGGATGCGGTTTTTTTTTCGTGTACACCACGACTGCGCATGCTCCGTTGGGTGCTTGTGCGCATCCACGGAGACTTGGGGGGAAAAAAACCTTTTTTGCAAGGGGACATGGGCGGGCACCGGATGCCTCCGGAAACGCAATCAGATGCCTGCCCTTGCCCCGCAGTTTCCGGAAACTAGTACCTCCGAGGTACTAGTTTATTGCTGCGTGTTTTTGGCGGGAAGCCTCGGTTGATTCACGGAAGTGCTACGCTTCCCAGATGTGCTGGTGAGATCGCGCCCGGAAACTCCGCTTGTCTTCCATCGCTCTAGCGGGCGGGAAGCCTCGGTTGAGTCACGGAAGTGCTACGCTTCCCAGATGTGCTGGTGAGATCGCGCCCGGAAACTCCGCTTGTCTTCCATCGCTCTAGCGTGGCTAATGCTCCGTGTGACCGCAGCCTAAATTAGTTTTTCTACTACTTGTTTCTTCAAGCTACACAATACGGGTATTTGATATGCAAGTGCTACATTTTCTGCAGCAGACCTGTTTCAATTAAATGCAACTGCAAAACAACTGCCAACTGTAATTTGTCATTCACTACCTAAAAGTGACAAGCAAATTACCGTATTTTTCGGACCATAAGACGCACCTGACCATAAGACGCACCTAGTTTTTAGAGGAGGAAAACAGGGGAAAAAATATTCTGACCCCTGGGGCTGTCATTCCAGTTCCTGAACACTCCTGGCCCTGTCATTCCGGTTCCTGAACACTCCTGGCGCTGGACGGGCTCTTTTTCCCCACATTCGCTCTATAAGACGCACACACTTTTCCAGCCACTTTTTTGGGGTGAAAAAGTGAGTCTTATGGTCCAACAAATACGGTATGTTTGTTATGGGTCAACTACAGTGCCTGGGTTGGATCCGAAAAAGTGCAAGCACCAGAAGCAAATCTTTCCTCCCCTTCACTTAGCAGCTTCCTCAGGCTCCCCAAAAGGCCAATGCCAGGGGTGATGGGAGCCCCGTGGATAAAATGCTAGAAGGCGTGGGGAGGGGCTGCAGTGAGAAGGGGAAATTAAACATAGTTATGCCCAGCTCCTACTGCTGATGGAGCAAGTTTTCTGTTGCTACAAGAGGGAGAAGGGGCAACTTAATACCTCTTCTTCACCACAGCCCCCATACTGTATAGCATTTTGTCCACAAGGCTCCCCTAACCCCAGCTTTGGCTTTTCAAAGATCTTAAGGGGCAGCTGGAAAAAGATCTTCAACAACAGCTTTGAGCTTGTAGGATCCAGTGCACTATAAACTATATAGTAAAGGTAAAGGTTTCCCTTGCTGGAAAGCCAGTCGAATCCGACTCTAGGGTTGCAGTACTCATCTCCGTTTCAAAGCCGAAGAGCCAGCAGTGTCCGAAGACATTTCTGTGGTCATGTGGC